GGCTGTCGATCTGTGGGAGCGGGTAACTGTCCTTTGGACATGCTCTGTTCAGATCTGTGTAGTCTACACACATCCGCCAAGTTCCATTCGACTTTTTAACCAGGATAACGTTGCTATCCAATCCGGGTAGTAGCATTGCCGAATAAACCCAGCATCTAACAGCTTCTTGACCTCGGCGGCTGCCGCCTGAGATTTCTCCTCGCCATGATTTCTCTTTTTCTGCCTAACCGACTTCTTTTTTAGATCCACGGCAAGTTTGTGGACAGCTAGATCCGGGCTTACGCCTGGCATCTCTTCCACTTCAAAGGCAAAAATTTCTTTGAATTCCTTCAGCAGTTGGAGCAAATATGCCCCCAACACCTTAAAAGCAACCGTCCCAACCTTGAAGGTTCTGTCGGGCCGGTTGTCGTCCAGGACGACATCAACGCTCTCACCTGCCGGTTGGGGTCGAAAGTCATCTGACCTTTCTCCGGCAAGTGATTGCTATTGCTTTTCTTTTTTGATGGGTGCTAGTTGGTCCGCCTTTCGTTTCTTACCGACTGCCCTTAGAGCTGGGACTGCTGGATCGCAGTTATCAACATCTATGGGCTCACCTTGACCGACTGTACCCATAGTTGGTTTGACGGCAGAGAGATAGCACTCCATAGCCGTCTTCTGGTCCCCGTTTAAGGAACCCACTGTACCATCATCCTTCTCAAATTTGACCAGCATGAGAGACGGGATGATGAAATCCTTAGATTCGTTGAGGGTCGGACGACCAAATATCATGTTGTAGGTAATCAGTTCCTCTACAACTAAGAACTTGACGACCATGTGGCGTCCTTGCCCCTTTTCACCCAATCGGATAGGAAGGTCAATGCTTCCTACCGGATGCACCACTCCTCCCCTAAAACCGACTAAGGGGTGAGGCGCTTGTTGCATGCTGGTGGGCTTGTACTTGAGCTTTGTCAAGCACTGATAGCTGATTAGGTTAGACGAGCTCCCGGTATCTATTAAGATCCGGCCAACCTTCTAGTTGGCAACCTTGCATTCGATGACGATGGGGTCATCGTGAGGCCGTCTGACCTTGCCCCGATCCTTTTCAGAAATAAGGACCTCAATAAAGGTGTCTTTCGACGCCCAGCCCTCATCCACTGAGTTGACCAGCTTCCTGATGTTGTCTTTTGTACCCCGAATGGTTGGGCCTCCACTGGAAAAACCTCCTGCTATTGTGAAGACTGTCTCTTCATCCGTTTCGGAGTTAGCAGGGCTGGGTTTTGCCGTCTGCCCCTTGTTTGTTTTGGGGTTGCCTTTGGGCTTTGGCAGGTAAGACTTTAGAGCTCCCTCGTCAGCTAGATGGTCTAACAGCCACCTGAGGCTGTAGCAGCCATTAGTGTCATGACCAACATCCTCATGGTATTGGCAGTACTTGCTCTTATCCCGGCTGCTGGCGGGGCTTTTCATGGCGGCCGGTTTTTAGAGGGACAACCGGTCCTTGATTTACATGAGAATGGAGGAGCAGTCCTTTGTGAACTCGTACTTGGGGACGTACGGTTCAGATTTTCTTCTTGCCTTCTAGGCCAGCTGACCAGACCGATCTGCCGCCCAGATTCCTTTTCTCTTGTCTTCCTTTTTTGCCGGCGGTTGTGGCCGGTTACCTTTTCTGTCAGATTTTTTGAAGTCTGACGGTTGCTTTACATCACAAAGCTCCGTCGCCTGTATATAGGCTTCTACTTCCATTAATGCCTCTTGGAGGGTCGCTACCCTTTTCCGGACGAGATCGAACTTGAAGGTCGACCCATCCTTCAGACCCTTGAAGAAGTCTGTTTACGCAACTTCGTCAGACAGCCTTTGAATCTGAATTCTCATCAGATTGAACCGCCTGACATAGGACCGGAGTCCTTCCTTCTCACCCTGCTGTATTGCCCCAAGATCAAGGCTGGTCTTTTTGGTAGGGATGTTCATTAAGAAGTTTGACGTGAATAAATACGCCAGAGTTCTGAAGTTGTTTATGCATCCGGCTGGTAGGTTGCCAAACCACCGTTGGGCAATGCCCTTCAGGGTCGCCGGGAAGCATCGACACCAGGTGGCGTCATCCAACCCCTGTAGATACATGAGGTTGGAGTATGCCATTAGATGGTCTTTCGGATTGGAGGTACCATCATAGGCACCTACCAACACATTCTTGACTTTAGGCGGTTGTGCAGCCTGGGTTATGTCTGGCGAGAACGCCGTAGGCTGTTCTCCCAAATTAAGCAGACGCAACTACCAATTTGTGGGTTGGAACGGCTGCTGCCCATGACCCTCGAAGAGGCCTGGTGCAGAAAAAGGGGATCCACCAGGTACATATGGCGGACCATATAGTCCCGGCTGGATCACTTGGGACCAGATCGCGCGGAGGGTTCGCGAGACTGACCCCCTTGGTCTGTTTCCGAGTGTCTGACGGAGACGCTGCGGAGACTGTCAGGGAAGGTCGACGTTGAGGCCGACGCAGACAGCTGTTGATTTCTCTTCTCTTGGAGAAATGTCCGGGCATCAGAGAAGGTTTTCTTGGATCCATCCGGCTGTAAGTGCCGGATGGCTTTTCTGTGCTCCATTTGAGGGAAGCGGAGCCTATTTAAGTCGATCTGGGGCCTATCCCTTACCTTGGGCTTGGGATGAGGAGTGGGCACACGATCTTTTAGAGCCTTCTTCCCGGAGGTTGAAGGCTTCTTGGCCGGCTGACCCTTCTGGGGGGGTGGCTGACCGGATGAGGTTCTTTATCTCGCCTTTGAAACTATTCATGAAAGTCATGAATTCGTTTCTCGTGACCGGGGCAATCCCGCTGCTGCCTGGGCATCCCCAACCGGCATACCGGTTGTGTTGTTGGGAGCAGCTTGATTCTCACCTCGTTCCTTCATTTCTTTGGAACGGGTGCGTTTTGTTCTAAAGGACTCGTCTGGGGCCACACAGGTGTCGATTTCATAGTCGTCACCACTTTCATGGTCCGTCTGGACCTCAGGCTCGGCCAAGGGCCGTTTGTTCAGATTCGATGGTACAGTATCAGAAGTCATCCTGGAAGTACCCTCCCCACAGACGGCGCCAATGTTTCGGGGTGTTTTGCTATGTCCTGAGGGAGAGTTACGATTCCAAGACTAAGCTGCCGATGCCCGTACCTGCAAGATCACGAAGACTCCGGTTGGTAGGAGCTTCGCCTCCGACGATCAAGTTATTATACGTACAGGAGGAAAGAATACGGAATAGGTAAAGATCTTCTCGCTGATTGGGAGAATTCCGCAACTAATATTGCTCGGTAATAGTGTTTGTATTTATGAATGCCCCATTAATGAGGTTTGCCCCACTATTTATAGTGGGACAGACAAGTCCCCCATGTAGGGTACCAAGGACACGTGTCAACAGAGGATTGGAGCCCTGTTGACTAATGGCGATGCGCCACGTGTCACCAGCCCATTGGGCCACGTGTCTAGGGTAATTTTTACCCTAAACAGGGGGCATTCCGCCATTGTTGTTGAAGAAGAAGACGAAGAGGAAGGCCGGTGGTGTTAGGGTTTCTCCTCTCTCGTCCTTTTCGGTGGTGGAACGGGGAAGCCTTCGTAGTTGCTTGGCGGGAAGACGGAGTGTACTGTCGTGGTGAGCGGTGGTCGTCGTAGAGGTGGCTGACTGATTGTAGATCTGGTTTTGAGAGCTGGCCGTGGCTATTGGTTCGTGGTGGGCTAGCTATAGGTTTTTTATTTTTATTTTTTTCTCTCTCTCTTAGATTAAGTTTGGGAAAAAGACACAGCAGGGCCCACAAAAGGGACTAATTTACAAGTTTTTTGTTAATAAGGCTGATTGATTGGGTAACCTCCACACTTTAGCTACTATATTAGACTAGATAAATAGACAAATTAATTGAAATAATTTTTCCATTGATGAGAAGAACATATTTAATTCTTACGGTTTAAACTTTATAGTTTAAAATGTCTACTCAATCACTCTTTTAAATATCATATATTTATTGAAAACAAAGGCATGTGTAATTTAGTATAGCCATCACATATTGTAATGTGAGTAAGTAGTTTAATTTGCAATTTTTTTGTATCATTGTATGCAATGGTTTTTGTGGGGTAAAATCTTTTGGCCTTTAGTACTGTACTATTGACTTTATTTACATATGCAGTACTATGTACAAGCCCTCGAGGACTTGTACAAATATGTTTTTTTTTTTTTTTTTTTTTTTTTTTTTTTGTGTTTTATTTTATTTTCTTTAAAAAAGGAAATTAAGTGTAATAACCACTTTTATTAACTTCTTAATAATATAAAATTATTCAAGTATAATTCAAAGTGAATTTATTAGCGATTTTTTTTTTTTTTGAGGAATTACAATTTTTTTACTTAAAACAATGTCTAAAGTCACTTTATATTTTATGAGTTGCACACTGTATAATACAATCGTTGAATTACAAATTTATAGCACACATTATTTAAAAAGTTTGTCATCTAAAAAACAGATAATGAAATTCAGCTAAGATGATTTTGTTAAGCTAAGAATAAATCTTATTCAATATTTGTAACCTTGGAATAAAAAATTAAAAAAAAAGTAGCAAAAGTTAACAAATGAATTTAAATAGTTCAAAAATCAAAACATTGTATCTATTGTGAAATGGAGGTAGTGTATGATAGAGCGATCTATTGTGAAATGGAGCCATGGAGGTAGTGTATGATAGTAAGAATTAAGAATATCATTTTTCAACTATTAATCATAGCCTTTTAAATTATATCTTGTACACATTAACACGAATAAATTCTAATTTTGTAAATAAAAACAGCTAAAAAAAAAAACCTTCAACCCTATTCACAAGCACTTCGAGTCGAACTTTCTTGTAATCAACTCACGAATAATCTAAATCAAGTTGAAATGTTTCGCAAACCATCTAAACTCATAAACACCCCTAATTACAATACGAAAGCAACAAAGCAAATTTTTTTTTTTTTTTTTTTTTTTTTTTTTTTTTTTGAGGGGAAAAGCAACAATGCAAGTAATTTAAACAATTGACTCTTCCTTGAATGAAACAGCCAATAATTATTAATTTTAAAAAAAAGCAACATTTCTTCAAAAAAAAAAGCAACATATCCCAAAAAAAAAAATAAAAAAATACTTGTAAAAAAAAGACAAATGAACGAATAAACAGTCGTATTCATCCGCCGATACCAACACCAATAGCCGCCAATTCACCGCAACCCAGTCTTCTCACTTTCTCTCTCCTCCCTCACCAAGGTCAGTTCTCTCTCCCTACTTTCTCTCTCTACATTTTCGCATTCAATAGATTTAACTACCACCATTTTCACCTAACTACTATACTATATCTTCACCAACATTCTATTCTTCTTGTACTTTTCATTGACTTTCTCTTTATTTTGATTCTGGAAAAAAAAGAAAAAAGAATAATTCTATTTTCATCGATTTTTGATTTTTCCAGATTTGTTCAAATTTTTGGTTTGATTCTCCGATCTATTTGATTGATGTTGCATTGTTTGTTGTAGAAGTTGAATTTTAAGAGTATCAATGTCGTGGCTTGTTAAGCAAGTTGTTAACAATGGAAGTCTACAGTATTCCTCGGTATTTTTGCTAATTTTTTTTTTCATTTGTTTGTAAAATTTATTGTTGCAATTGTAGAAATATTGCAATTGTTGAATTTTGATTGATGTAGATTTATTTATATTTTTTTTGCTAAATTTATTTTTTGCAGAGAATTCGGGCTTTACAACATGCTGCTAGGACTTTTGCAACTGCAGGAAAAGAGGTGATATTTTTTTTTTTTGTTAAATTTATTGATTTCTTATTTTGGCAATTAGATTTTTGTGCTTGTGAATTTAATAGTAATTGATTTCGCGCATTGTTATTGTAATTCTATTGTAGTTCGGAGTTGCGATTTGTCAACGATTTGATTAGGTTGTAATTGGATAGGTTGCAAATTGATGGTTGCTAATTTGTGTTTTAGTAGAAAGGTTTTTGGCTAATTACGGCGGATGAGTCCTTTTCTGCTGTGCAATTGTGGAAGAGTTGGATTTATTTAGCTTTGGTTTGCTGTTTGTTGCAAGATTATGGTTTGGGATCTGATTAGGGTTGTTGAATGAGGTGCATTATACTTGAGTGTCGGACAACATCTTCACGTGTAAATTGGTTTTAGGTTAGCATACATTGTGTGTTTGTACATTATAAGAGGAGTTCTTGCCTTCATTAGGTCTGTTTGTTCTTCCAATTATGCACAATAGGATCTTTGTTTGTATATAAATCGCATTTTTCACGATTTTGCACAATTCCTTCTTCATTTAGTGACCCTTTTTTCGGATTTTTTGATGACGCAATGTTATGGACTTTGCAGATGACAGTCAGGGATGCCCTAAATTCTGCATTAGATGAAGAAATGAGTGCAGATCCTAAAGTCTTTGTGATGGGTGAAGAGGTACTGTGAAAATACTATTGGATGTCTGTATTTTCTGCTCTTTATACCGAATGTGATTTCTAGAAGTTAATGCTGAATATGTTTTCTTTTGCACACAAACAGGTTGGTGAATACCAAGGAGCCTACAAGGTTAGAATTCCACTATTCCGTCCACTTTTTATGTCTTGGATTGTGGCTTTCGCCATTTAAAGTATTCTGCTCACATATATCCTTTCTGTTACATTTTTGCATCAGATAACCAAAGGGCTTTTGGACAAGTTTGGCCCAGAAAGGGTTATTGATACTCCAATTACAGAGGTTTTTTCTTGAACTACATAGAAGTTATTCATTTATTTTCATTTAATTTGTAAATTGAATATTTTTTCCCTCTTAAACTGCTTTTCACATGCTGTTGTCAATCGAGGATTTATTGTTATTTGGTTGTGCAGGCTGGCTTTGCTGGTATTGGAGTTGGTGCAGCATACAAAGGACTCAGACCTGTTGTAGAATTTATGACATTTAACTTCTCGATGCAGGTAAGAAATTTCTTATTGGCAGTTTTATTTCTTTTTTGTTGTTTTGAAGGGTGAGTTAATGGATAATTTCAGGAGAATGTAGAAGTGTAGAACTATGGCTTATAATTTCCTTACTATTGAATCTGATTATCCTGGTTTAAGTCAACCACAATTTCTAGTCTTATCTCACAATTTATGTGCCGGGAAATTGTTTTAGAGGTAGATTGAATTAAAAAGAATTTAACTGAATAATTTCATGTGGAATTAAAAGTTTATCCTTGTCTCGTAGCTCTTTTAATAGCCGTGTTGCTTTAATGACATTATTCTTCAAAACAGTGCGCTGCAGTTTAATAATAGGATTTTCAGCTGCTGCTTGAACTTCTTTAACTTGTATGTCATAATCTCTTAGTAGCTTGTTTGTTGGTTTTTATAAACTCAAACAAAATCCATCCATTAGTAACAAACTCGTGCGAAACAGGAACAGTTGATTTTAACAAAATTCAAGTTAAAAATTTGAAAGACAGTTGGGGGTCCTGTCTTGTCTTGGTCAAAATCAATGAGTATTCTTTAATCCAACCAGCCTCTTGGAACAGCCTTATGACCCAAATGGTCATACATTACTTGTACAGTACGGCTGTACTACTAATTCTAAATCTGAAATTTATAAATGGCATATGTTTTTAATGATAATATGAATTTTGAATATGTTCAATCACTCTTGGAAGACTAATTGGATTTGAACCGTCCTGAATTACTCGCATCACTTTCCTTATTATAAAAAAAAGAAACTCTTCACTCATATCCTCAAAAAGTGATGACATATTTCCCACTAACTCCCCTTGATCCTTTTTGCTCTTCCCATTTTGAATTTTTCGTGAGAATCAAAAAAATCAAAGTGGGAAGAACAAAAAAGATCGGAGGGGGGGGGGTATAAAGTCAAGTAAATTGCATAAAATGTTGTGCCGGTCAAAGTGTTATGACTAATTCGGGATGGAGGGAATATTATTTTGAGTCTTCTAGAATCCAATCCCACACCATTTAAGGTGACAGTGACATAAATCACTTCTACACCCTTAGAAATTTCTGCCTTGCTATTTTTTTTTATTAGTGACTAAACTGTAACACTCAAATCAAGCTATTTTAATGAGTTTTTATTTCTTGTATATCATATGTGGTTGCTACATCCACCATATGAAAGTAGTCTTTGGTGTACTCTTAACAAGTATTAACACGTTGTTTGGATTGAGAAAATTGGAGGGAAAGGAAGAGAAGAGTAAAGAAGGGATCTATCCTCCCTTGTTTGAGTACCCATTTGGTAAGAGTGAAGGGAAGAGAAATGGAAAGATTCAATCTCCCTACCTCTTTAATAACTAAGTCCTTCCATTGTTGGAAAGATTTGGAGGGAAAATGTAATCTTACCTTCTCCCTCTCTCCCTCTCCTCCCCATTCCTTCTTCTTTCCTCCCTTCCCTTTCCCTTCCACTTTTCGATCCAAACAAACCGTAAGCATCTGGTCTTGTTTGTTTTTCTTTTCCTTGTGCTTGCCAACTGTCTTGTTTTGTGAATAGGATTTAACACCACTTGCATCTTTATTGGGTTGATCCGTTTACCTGTACCATGACGAATAGAATTCGATGGACAGCCTCCTTTCTTGCTGTGACTTCTTAAGTATCATCCTTGATCTGTTGATCCGTTTTGGACAGATTTTTGTGATTTTATCATAACAAGTTTCTCAGCCTTCATAGCTTATACTTCCTTTGTTCCACAAATATTGCAACAAGGATGAAATTTACGCATCCCAAAGCACATTTTATATATTAAATATCTATAATTGTATAAGTGTAAAAATTATACAAGTTGATATTGTGAAAGTATTTTACGAGACGGATCTAACAAGACCCCACATGACTATATTTTACTTTACGTATAAATCATAATTTGTGGTCAAACAAGCATGATAAATAGTGCAAAAGTCAAATTGTTGCAATATTACTAGAACGGAGGAAGTATTTTAGAATTCTTTTAATTCTAGTGCTGCAACTTGTTTTTATTTTTATTTATTTATGTGCATATATTATTTCTGGTGGTCACATAGGGCAGTGATGTCGATGAGACTTGTCCCAAGGATTTTGTACTCTTTCCAAGGCTGCACAAATAAGCTACCTGGCATCAACTGTGCTGCAACTTATTAATATGAACTACAATTTTGCACGTTAGAACTGACTCTAATAAACATCTCACAATTAATACTTTAATTGTTGGTATCTTGCTGGTAATGAAACCCAAATTGTTTGGGAAAGAAAAATCAAAGCCCCTTCTTCGTAGGCACATTTCAATATTGTCTTGTTTTTCTTCCGTAAAATTTACCATTCACATTGAAGTGTTCTTTTCTGCTGGTTAGAGTTTTTCATTCATACTACTTATTAAAATGTTACAATATGGATAAATTTTACTAATATGTGGAAATTTCATACCTTCTATTTTGTCTATGATCATGCTGACATAGTCCATTCCTTTGTGTAACAGGCAATTGATCACATTATAAATTCCGCTGCAAAATCGAACTATATGTCAGCCAGTCAGATATCTGTACCCATTGTTTTCAGAGGTCCAAATGGTGCTGCTGCTGGAGTTGGTGCTCAACATTCGCAGGTTTAATTATTATTGCCTCTGTTCAGAAAGTATATGTGATTTTCATTGCATCCTGTATGTTACTTGGTTATCTTTCTCTTAAAAATGCCTCAACATCAGGCATAATGGGCATTGTAGTCTGCTGTTGATACCTGAGTTTTCAAGAAACTTGCCCAGATGGCCTAACATGTTTCTCTGCATTCTGGAGAAGGATGTGGAGTCGATCTTTGAATATTTTAGCATGACATTTGAGCTTTATTAGTCCTTGAAAGAATCTTTGAAGTACTTCCTTTGGGGGAAGCTGCAAAATTGATTGCAACATTACTTAATTTGGACAATGATTCTCTCTTTACTCTTGTTGACACATGGGTCCTTTTTTTTTTTTTCCTCCCTCTCTCGTCAATTAAAATACCTTGCATCCCTTCTAGATTACAATTAAAAGAGAATGGAGGAAGTATTTATGGTGATGGCTGATAAAGTTTCTCTCTGGCTCTTTTCTTGATTGACATCTCAATGTGTTTATTAATCCCACATGTTTTCTGGTTGAAATTTTGGTTAGCTTTGTTATGACATACATGATTTGGTCCTAGGTCCTCCGGACTAATTGAGTATCATCAATTCCAAAAAGCATGAGAAGTAGAATAGTGGTTGCTGTTAGCTATTCCAGCAAACATAAAACCCATCTGGTACAATTGTGTCATGCAAAAACCAAGGAGTTTCCATGAGAACCCTCTTACGTCTTCCATATGGGTAGGTCTGTGTGAGAACAGAAATCCTGGGTTATCTTGTGCTATTACTGTTATTTTATGAAATAGCAAGGAAGAATTATGGGTTTTAAACATAATACAATCAGCTCTGGTGCTGAAACCTTTGTCCAAGCCCTTTATCACTTCTGCCCTTAGCCTTGAAGATCGCCATGGTCAGCTGTTGCTTTTTGCTTGAGTAACAAATTTTCTTTCTACCTAAGTGGGCTGGATACACTCAAAGACTTGTAACCTGTAAACCCTGGCTTGGCTTCTTCTTCCACCATTGGTAGAAGTTGCAAGGCATATAGTTTAGCATAGCATGTTCTCCCATAAGCTGGGCAGCGTGTTAGCATATAAAAATCTGGTGTTTCATTCTCTTATTTCACCACTGCACAGATTATGAGTAGGATTGGTTGTGCCATTCTCTTATACTAGATACTTTGTGCTCAATCATGAGATTAACTCTTTCGTTGGGCACTTTTACCCTGTTAACATTCCCAAGATATCTGTTCCATTTTATATATTAACTGTTTATTCTTTTTATTGTCTGGGGTCAACTTTAACCTAAAATTTGAAGAAAATGTTATGAAGAGTACTACCTCCGATCTTATTTGCTCCTTTTGGTTCACGATTAGGAAGGTTCAAAAAGTTCTTCTCATTTGGAATCATCTATATATAGGTTAAGTATTCTCATTAATTTTTTCTCTATTTATTTGGTGAATGTGCCAAAATTTATTACTTATTTTTTAAAACAATTCTTCACTTATTGAATTTCCCCATCCATGATTCCAATTTGTAATCATCATTCTCTTTTCCTAATCACCATATCAATTTCTTTCCCCTCTGTTTTTGCTCTTTTTTTTTTTTTTTTTTTTTTTTTTGAAAAGTTGGACTATTTAATACTCCCTCTGATCCTTCTGTTTTTCTCATTTTGAATCAGGGAGTAAATTAAGAAAAGTGAATCTTTTTGAATGAGAAAAAAAATTAAAGTAATGGAGATTCTAATTTTTTATCACAAAAAATTGAAAAAGAAAAAATAAAAGGGGACATGATAATTACTGTGGTGTTTGGGAAGAGAGAATGATGATTAAAATTTGAAATTATGCAGGAGGAAATTCAATTAGTGGAAAATTGTTTGAAAATTTGTATGGAAAAGAGAAAAAAGGTAATAACTTTTGGCACATTCACTAAAATTAAGGAAAATCAAAGGGAAATTTTCTTGCATATGTGGAAAGATTCTTAATGGTTATCCATTTGAACCTTTCCTGAATGGGAAGAACAAAATGGATCGTAGGGACTAGGGAGTATAAAAAGTAAAATCTCTATTATGTTAATTGTTTCTCTTACATTAAGATTCATTTCTTAATTAACTCCCCGATTCCAAATGAGAAGAAACAATTAGGGTTGGAGGGAGTACTATTTTCTGGAATTTTAGACTACTAACAATATAAATATTTTAAGTCCCCATGTAACTAGTTTATAAAAATCTGTGGTCTAATATAGCCAGACCTTAAAAAGTCAAAACTATTGCAACTTTTTTGATCAACCTTTGAATCTTTTTTAGTTAGTTATGGAAATTTCGACAACCTTATTATCTTTTTTTTTTTTTTTTTTTTTTTTTAATTTTATATGGTATTTTTTGAATTTTTTCCCCCTAGATATACCTTTGTTTTCTATTTTTGTTCTTAAATTGTGTAATTCTCTGTATTTCAATTCTCTGATTTCTTGAAAATTAGTTGAACCTCTGTGGTGATCAGCTCAACCAATCTATTGGAATCTTTCAGTTAAAAATTCAAAGTCTTGGTTTAAGCTTACTTTGATGCTTCTGCAGTGTTATGCAGCGTGGTACGGTTCATGCCCTGGTTTGAAGGTACTCTGTCCATATTCATCAGAAGATGCCCGAGGGTTGCTCAAAGCTGCCATTAGGGATCCAGACCCTGTTGTTTTTCTGGAAAATGAGATACTGTAAGTGATGATACATGTTCATTGTTTTTTTCTTTTCAATTGTGGAGATGTTCACCGTTTAATTTACAAATTTTTGATATGTTACTCTGTAGATATGGAGAATCCTTTCCTGTTTCAGAAGAAGTTCTCGACCCCAATTTCATCCTTCCAATTGGCAAAGCAAAGGTTCTATGATTTTCTTGATGATATATCTCAATTATTGAACATAGATTGATAAAGTTGCTTGACCAATTGTTTATTTCTAATACAGGTAGAACGACAAGGAAAGGACGTCACAATAACAGCTTTCTCTAAGATGGTGGGCTATGCTCTGAAGGTACATTATTTCTTTTTAACATCTTCCCTCCAATGTAGTACATCATTTTGTTCTTTTCACATTTTTTCTGTCAACTATAGAGTGTAACTTGACTTTCCTATACTGCAGGCAGCTGACATTTTGGCAGAAGAAGGAATAAGTGCCGAGGTAGCTTTTTTTGTTTTTGTTTTACATTGATATTGCTGCATACTCTTCTTACTTTAGACTTGTTGCTTACATTTCGAGGACTCGAGGATATTAACTGGCATCTTCTGTTGGTCAGGTGATAAATCTCCGTTCAATTCGCCCTCTTGACAGACCCACTATCAATGAATCTGTCAGGAAAACAAATAGGCTGGTAACTCTTGAAGAGGGGTTTCCGCAGCATGGAGTTGGTGCAGAAATCTGGTAATTAACACCTTGAATATTGTCTTTTCCCCCCTTTTCTTTAGTTTTCCCTGAACAAAGTTCATTTATAATTGCTCATATAATGTTATATTTTTAGTTGAACTTTGTGCCATTGCTTCACTCATTATAAGGTGTGCTGCAATAACAGTGTCATGTGTCAATTGAGCTAAGACAATTTGGCATTGAGTTCTCAACTATACTTTTTCACTTAAATCAGCTATGTTGTATAACTAATTTTTTTTTTCTTTGTTTGTACAGTGCTTCAGTTGTTGAAGATAGCTTTGCGTACCTAGATGCACCAATCGAAAGGATTTGTGGTGCTGACGTTCCTATGCCTTATGCCCCAAATCTTGAAAGGATGGCCGTCCCACAGGTCCAAATTATATTTTCTTTATTGATCATAGTAAATATGTTCTGTTTACATTCATGAAGTAGCACCTTTCAATCCTGCTATATTTATTTTATTTTAAGGGGTATTACAACATATAATTTTTTTTTTTGACGAGTACAATATTTAAATTTAGCTCTTCATATATAACGCAAACTTGTCTGCAAGAATGAAGCAGTCAGTGCAACCAAGGTTTTAATGAAAAATTAAAGCTTGATTAAAGACAATGAAGTTGTTACTAGCTTGTAAATTACAACATTAAGTTGATTTTCAGCATAGGCTAGTAGGATATGTGGTCAATAATATCTAACTAGGCTTGAGGGATTTGTTGCTTATATAAGCGGAGTAACTAATCTTTTGTGCAAACTGGTTGTTTATTGTACCTTATTGTCTCGTAACAACAACAACAACAACAGCAACAACAACAAAGCCTTAGTCCCAAAACCTTATTGTCTCATGGTAGTGGAAAAAAAACGTTGTTAGGAATATATTCTAAAACCAGACATTTGCTATGTCATTTGCTTATAATTGTCTAATATCTGCCTTTCTGTATTACAGATTGAGGATATTGTTCGAGCTGTCAAGCGAGCATGCCACAGATCAAAATGAACTGCCGAATACTGAATCTCAAATCAATCTATCAATTTTATCTAATTTCACACATTGATATTGATGTAATTTGTTATTTTTGCCACTGGTGTGGCTGCTTTGGTCAAAATTCGAGGGATAACTTTGTGTCCGAAATAAAATTTTGTAACATTAATCTGCCCAAAAATTTTCTGTGGTACCAACAAGAGCAATAGCTAATACAAAAAGGTTGCAAAGTAATCAAATCAATGCAGCCTTATTTTTCTTAGTCAAATTAAGTTACTCGTATTGGTTATTCCTTCGTAGAAAAAATAACTTGTGTAACATATACTGAAGTATCTAATTATTCTTTTGAATACTCTACCAACTCACCGGCAGGTAGCAGTCTCCATGATCGGTCTAATTCCTTCTTTATGCTCACTAACATGGTAATACTACCACGGTACCACCTTTGGTCACAACTCACCAGCTACTAACACACTCCCTTCGGCCACCACTATGAGTTGAGCAGGACTACTAACATCACCTCAAAAGAATGTCACACTTCTCTCTATCATCATGCAGTTTTTATCAGGGTGGATTTGGTTACATACTCTTTAATTCATTAACTATTATGAAATTTTGTCTTGAGCTCCGTGAGAGCTCCAAAGTTGCATACGCCGGAGGTAGTATATAAAAACCAACAACTAAAAACATTGAGTTACACTTGCCATTAAGGATCTCTTTACAGTTTACACCCAACAAATTAAAAAAGTTTGAGTAATAAACAATGGATAACATTATTTATAAAAACCATTAAATTTAGGCGATGAAGTTTAGTCCTAGAATTGTACGGAGTATGTCTTATGTTAACCCACTTTAAATTTATCTAATCCTAACCCATATAAAATTTATCTATTCCTATTTAAGGAATTTTCACAACAATAATATTTTATACATATTCAATCATTATATAAAGCCTTTCAAGACTAGTTCTCATAAATCAATACAAGAACAATATTAGTACAAAACACAATGTCAAGCCAAAATGAGCAAGATCGGCTCCAGGGATCAAGCATTAATTGGTGGTACCACTTTTGTCCTCTGTGTCGTTTCGAGTTGGCGGCTGCCGAGAGTTTGTAAAAGAATGATTAAGATTTGATATAGTGATTTATTTTTAATTGTCAATAAATACTCATATTCTTTTAATACTTATTTGTTTGTATGTAGTAGTACTTTTTAATCGTAGAAAAAATGCTTGGTTAAAAAACCGAAAAAAGTCTAAAATAAGTTATTGTTGTCATTGTATTCTTATTTACCCATGTTAAAAAATTAATAAGTATTTTAAAATGCCTAATATAAAAATGAAACTATTTAAAATATCGTTCGGTGCAAAGCCCAAGTCACACATTAGTTTAGTGATTAAAAAGCGTACATATATTCTTGAAAGTTATGGTATCTTTAATACTCCGATAATTTAATTTGATACACTGGAACTTAAATAAAGGATGAGGATAGATCAATAAATGCCGACTCTAGAAGCAAATTTTTTTTAAAATTTTTGGTAAATAACATACTATAAGTAACACCTTTTTTGTTTTTTTAATGTAGTAGTAAATTCGGATATTTTTGGTTAATAACATGCAGTTGCAAAATTTATCCTTATTGGTTTTATAATTTTTTTAGTAAATTCGAAAACTTTTGGTAACTGAAATATAAAATTAAATTTATCTTTTTTTTATATATTTAAAATTTTGTTAGTAAATTTAAAATGTTTTGGTAACTCATACATAATTAACAAAATTTATACTTTTATGTTTTTGTAAATTTTTTTAGGAAGGGAGGGTCTACTATACATGACAAATACCGTTATGTACTGTGTATGCTATATACTGCTATGAATTCTATAGTAAATGTCGCATACTGCTATGTACCACTAAAGCATAGTATTACACAATGTACCACTTATAAAGTTATTTTTTATTGATTTTATTAGAGGATCTTGGATCAAATCTTATTTACCACAATATATTTATTTTTTCCTTATCATTTTTTCAAATTTTTGGGTGATCAATTATATTTTCTAAAAATTCCCGTCAAAAAAAAAAACCTATATTTTCTAAAAATTAATTTTATTTTTTTGTTATTCGATCGACCTTGGAAAATATCATCATAATCGGACAATATACATGTAGTCCTTTGTCATTGATGAAATTTATGTAATTTTGCAACTTTAAAGACTTCTGTTTACTATTGAAGCAATTTCAATTATATTGCCTAATTATTTCATTTATTTTTCATAATTTTTCATCGATATTTTAAAATTGAAATTGAAAGCCAATTTATAATTTTTAAGTTCAAAATTACAATGATTATACTCTGAAATAATAATGCAACCACTATAACAAGATCAGTCATACTTTTATTGAATTTCATGCTAAATTAATAACCATAACCTTTATATATGATGATCATTAGATACTCTCTCTCTCTCTCTCTCTCTCTCTATATATATATATATATATATATATATATATATATATATATATATAATATATATATATATATATATATATATATATGTATATGTATAGTTCGGACAATTCAATGAGAAGGTTGAGATGGATTAATATAGAAAGTACAATTTTTTTTATTTTTTTATTTTTTTATTTACCAAATATGTAAATGTTTTAATTTTTCAAGTGAATATGCAAATTGAATTTTCGAGCTAATAAAATTTCTAAATAAGAAAATAGAAGAAAATAGGAAAAATTGAAACTAATAATCCCACCTTTGGCACATCTTCTCAATACAATCCCACCTTTGCATATTCTGGAAATAATCCCACCTTTATACCCCATATTCTCAAAATGGACCTTTTTACCTACAACTGTTTCAACAGGTAAATTTTTTGTTTTTTTTTTCTTTAGTAATAAAAAACAAAGGAAAAATTAAAAAAAAAAAAGTTAAAAACCCCTAACCCAGCCCAACCCCACCACTAGCACCACCTGTCTCTCATCGGCGACGGCCTAAACCAAGCCGTCGGCACCCCTGCCCCACCAAAACCGGCGAAACCCTCCTTTCCCCTCCCCGAAAACCACCCCAACCCAGCCTAACCACCGCAAATCACAACCTAGCCTCACAGCTCCAACAACATCGCAACCACCGCTGCCACTCCACACAACCAATTTGCACCCCAGCCTCTTCAAACCATCGCAAATACTGATTCGCACTAAGCCGATGGATTGTGGTTGGTATTTGTGGTGGTTCGAATGGCTATTTTAGGCACTATTTTTGTTTGAACTGGTGGCTGTCGGGGTGGTTGTTGGGCTAAATAAATGGTGAGCGGTGTCACTGATGACGTTCATTGTCGGTTTTGGTGGTTAGTGGCGTGTGAAGTTAAGTATTTTACGGCTGTGAGAAATGGGGAATGGCTTTGCAATGGTATTGGAGGTGAGAAATGGTGGCGGATTGGTGATAGTGGTGAGGGGGGTGGTTTTGGTGAAGCTGACGTCTGGCAGGAAAGGGAATAAGCAAGGGATTTGTTAAACATCGCCCGCAAATTTCAACATAAAGCCCACAAATTTTAGGTGAAGTGACACTTTTGCCCTTATATGTTAAAAAAAAAAACTCTCACACACTCTCATCTTCTCTATACTCTCTACTCTCATCACCTCTCTCTAAAAAAACAAAAAATTTAAAACTACAATGTCGAGGCGGTAAGGCAAGGAATTGGCGGCTGCGGAGGCGGTCACAGGGTGGCAAGGTTTTTTTTTTTTTTAAAAAAAAACCTCGAAGAGGTGGGGTGCCTGGGCAGGACGTTGTGGCCACGGTGGCGGCGCCCAAGCCAGCGCCAGCCCCACAGCAGCGATGTCTGGGCGGGACGCCTGGGCCACGGTGGTGGCGTCTTGCTTGGGCGCCGACGCAGTGGCCTTGGCGTCCTGCCTAGCCGCCGCCGTCGTAGGGCTGGCGTCTGGCTGGGACGCCGCTTCCTTTTTTATTTTTTTTTATTTTGCGTTTAAACCTTTTTTTTTTTTCAGTTTTCAGTTTTCTGTATTTTATTTTTCAGAATTTTTTTTTTGTTTATGTTTATATATTTTTTTTTCAATTTTTTTTTGTTTATTTTTATATTTTTTTGTTTTTCAAATTTGTTGTATTTTTTTTTATGTTTATATTTATTTTTATATTTATTTTTCAATTATTTAATTTTTTTTTGTTTATTTTTATATATTTTATTTTCAATTATGTTGTATTTTATTTATGTTTTTTTTATGTTTATATTAATTTTGTATGTTCTGGTATTTTTTTTCTTTTTGTGTGTATTTTTTTTGGGTTATATTTTTTTTTAGTGTTTTGTAATTTTTTTATGTCAATTTGTTAGTATTGTTTTTGTTTATTTGACATTTTTTTTGGTTGGTTATTTCTAATTTTTGTTGTTGGTACTTAAAAATAAATAGATTATTAGTATAAATTACAACAATTGCAATTATTTTTCGTTATTTAAATGGAGTTAGGTATCGCATTTTCGACCTGGTGCGGGGAAGAGTATGACCGTTATTAGAAGTAGAAACTACTCAATGGAGAGATCGGGGCCCAGCCACATTAGATCCAGTGGTATTTCGGCCTCGGCTCGCAGGGAATGGATTCACTATCCTGAGGAGGATGAAGATGGTTATTGTGATGATGATGATGATGATGATGATGATGATGAGGAGGAGGAGGAGGAGGAGGAGGACGCAGATGATGATGTGGTGCTTGGGATGGACGATCAGAGTGGACCATATGATGATTACGGTCCATTTAGTCAAAGGCTTGATGATATGTATGAGACGCATAGGGTAGATGTGCGTAAGGATAGATATGGTAGATTTGTTAGTAGATCTGGCACATCATCTGCGTCCACTGTGTCTACGGTAAGTAGAAAACGGTCGAAGGCCGTAAATGATTCTTGGGTGGTGAGGGGTGAGGTGGCTTGGGGACCTGTAGACGGGAGTGTGATTCCTAGCTTTCTAGGACACATAACTATCCGTATCTGGGAGGACCAGGAGAGGGCTTTGGATACGGGCTGAGGCTTTGCTGGAGGAGAGCGAGATGTTCGGTCGATTGCAGGACACCAGAGCAGTTTACGATGGTTGCCCGCCTATGGACTGCGGAGCTGCAGAGGCCGCCAACTAGGGTGCCTCCCATGTGTGACCACCACTACATGGAACGGTACAGCCGGTATTCGCACCCGAGGTTGATCAGAGACCTCCACCATGGTGACGACGCCGATGATGATGATGTGCCACCACCCAC